CAGGAAGGCATCATTGCACACTAGAAAAGCCCCCGCCACTGTCTGAACTCTACATATTTTTCCTCACTGATAGATCTTGAAAGTTCTCCACTTGGAGCAGCTTACACGGATTGATTAGCCATATCCAAGTAAGTTCTGTAGTCAGTGGCTTTGCAGCCTTTGTCTTTCACACAGGCATGAGAAGGGTTAATAAAAACATTGTTTGCAAAATGGTGTGCTCCTCATAGTTTAGTAACTCCCTCAAACCTCCCCTAGTTCCCAAATATTTCAGGGTACCACCAGCTCTTTGCCAAATCTCTACCAGATCCACATGATCTGCACCATGACTGGCGCTAAGTTGTCTAAGGAGAAGTATCGTCCAGTCATTAAATATTTTTTAAACTGAGTGGAATTGCGCTGGATCAGGGTTGCATTTTCCACTTCATGCCCTGTGAAAGTGTGCAATATCTTCCATGCTGTTGTTGATAGAGGGCATCAATGGAAGTCTAACTTCCATGTATCATGATTTTATTAACAAGCTATACCATCAGGGGAGTCTAAAATGAGGCTTATGTTCAGCCTGCTGAAGCATTGTGCAAAATTATTAGATTTGCCCCAGACAGCTAATAATTTTGAATCCAGCTTTGCAAATATTTTTTTTGTATCCAGGCAGAGTTACCAGGTAGCTCTTAGGGAGCTGCTGAATTCAGTAGCCTGACAGAAGCCACGATGCTGCAGTTCCATGTCCAACCAGTAGTGAAGCTTAGCATATATTTCCAGGAAGCCCATTAAGACATGTATGCAAGATATACAAGTTATACAAGGTAATCCAGGAAAAAAGCTAAAAATGAATTTACTAAGAAGACAGGACAGGCTGTGCTGATCAGGCACAGGGCATGGCCAAAGAAGCATGCTGACCAACAACCTGTTTACGTGCAATGGACCCCATTTATCCCCTTTTACCTCTGTTTTCCTGTCCTTGTTCCTACCCAAACCACCTTGATCCTTCCCTTTCCCCACCCTTGATTCTGCCCCTTAACATCCCGTAAAATCTTGTGCAGTCCCCAAATGCTGTTCCCCAGCATCCCATAATGTGTCCTGCATTACCTAGGCAGTAACCCTGCCTCTGTGTGTGAGGTGACCTGGAGAGCTGTGGTGGGCGTTCCCTTGGCCCATGGGGCTAGGGCGGGGGGAGGTCCTTTCTCTGAGTGAGCTATTGGGGCTGCCTGTCTGCCACTGTGCAGGCATGTGAGATGATGAGCCCTTTATGGGCCAGTCACTCTCCTATGACCTGCTTGGGAGGAGCCAAGGCCGGGTGTATTCAGAGCCTGCCATTGCTGCTTTGCCCTCCTCTGTGTGTGTGGAGACAAGCTTTTTATCGCATATGCTAACAGTAGGCTTCAAATAGCCAGTCTTCAGGGGAAAGCCAGCAGAGAAGAGACTGCTGCAGTCACCCTTGCACTGGGGACTGCTACTCCAGCACAGAACAAATAGTGTTGCTTCTCATGAGTGTAACTGTGCCCTAGTTCCACTTGGGATGAGAGAAGGAATCCAGTCCTGGTTGTCCAGGTTCAGCCATCCACACAAAGCTTGTTTGTTAAAGTTTTTGTGGAGCACGTATGAATTTTGCCGGGGGACAATTGCACAGACAGCTGCAGTATAAAGTGTTCTGATAAGGCAGGGGAAGAAAAGGGCATGTTAATTTCAGGTACTGATAGAGCCTATGTTTTAATCCAAGTCCAAGAGTGTTATTGCCAGATATAAAAAATGTTACAAACAGTGGGGAGTACTTAGGTATGACTGATTCTGGATACACAGGTAACAACCCAAATGCTGGTCTTTATAAATGCCTGGGAGACAAATCCAGTTCAGAGAATGAAAAGGCTCTAGAGAGAAGTGGATCAGGGTGAGAGTCATGGAACAAGGTTTTAATACCCTAAAATACAACCATAGGTTTCCATGAACCTATTTGCAAAGACCAGTTTTTCAGGTGGATTACCCAGATCATTGTTTGGGGTATGTTATAGCAGCAATAACTTTTGTGTTTACTGAGCACACATCACAACTATATGGTAAACGTGGCACTCAGAAAAAATATATGGAATTTCTCACCTAGGCATCTGTTAGTAGATACTCTTTTCTAAAAATCAGCAAGCTAAAAGCTGGTATCTGGAGCAGCACAGCAACTGATCAACAGACTGGCAATTACTTTTGAAAGCCATGCAGTATCAGAAATCATTTAGCATAATACCCCTGGTTCAGCTTCACGATCTGCCATAAAGTGTGCTTTCTTCTCACAGAAGGCTTACATTTACATCTGAGTACAAAAGAATCTTAAAGCAGATGCTGACCATTAAGTTATTAGATCATTAAAGTCCTTGAAAGTAGAATAGACTCAGCAGGTAGTAATCCTGGAATCCATGGGGACTTAAGTGTGCATTCTCGGTAGGACAATTTATCTTTTTACAGACTCAATTAAGTGGCATTATTGCAAATATTCATTTGTCAATGGCAATTTTACAGATGGAGAATCTTGTAACAGATGGGCTTTCCCCCCTTTCTTTTGTTTTTTCAAGGAGTGATGTATCCTGCACCAGCTGACAAAGAGCATGATGGAGGTGTACCTTCCCTCTTCCAGCTGAGAACATGCTCAGTAGTAGACATTCTGTCTACATCCATGCATTGCATACAGCACACAAGTGGGATCAGGTGCCAAGTTGTCACAATGGGATGCCTTGTGTAAAATGGAGAATGGAGATAAATTTGGCAGGCAAGTTGGGAAATTCTCACTACAGTGCTAGCAGTCTGCTGGGTATTGTTGATGTGCAGGGATTCCCTCCTGTGTTCACTGCTGTTAGAGGAGGAGGGCTTGTGTGAGGAGGAGCAGGGGGAGTGGTATTCAGGATGCCTGCTTGTAAGTGACCTTTCTTTGTTGAGGCAGACATAATTCTAGAAAATTAGCTTCATTTGGCAAGAGCATGTTGTGTGAGGAAATCTACCATCATTAGTGAACGTTGCTATAGATACTGCTTACAAAGCTATCTTCCTGAGAGAAAAAAATTATAATACATGGAGACAAAGGCGTCTGAACCTCACTGCAATTTCTCCCCTCTCAATGGCTGCAAATGAGCTACTTTGTCCCAGGAGCATTCCAGAGGTTATTGAGACAGTTTAAATGAGAACCATGTTTCCAACACGCTGTTGTTACCTACTGCCTTTGTTAGCCTTATGACAGATTGCCATGGACTTGTCTGGGTTTCAGATGACACTATGTGCAAAAAGACCTCACCTCTGGTGAAATTAAAAAACCCAGCTAAGGTTTAACATCTGCTAAAAAAAGCCCACCCGGCATGATCCTGATGCTATGCTGACTCCATCTTGACCCATGTATGCGCCTGGGTAAGACCAGGCAGCTGTCTGTGCCAAACCAGAGCTTCCTATCACACTGTGACATCTAGGAAGGCTACAGATTATGGATAAATGCAGTGTTTTATCATTCAGAGCAAAGTTTCAGTGAGTGGCTTATTTATTTATATGATTATTTTGCAAACACACTTTCTGCAGAAAATAACCTGTTCTGGAGAACCTGTGAAGATCATCTGAGCAGGGAAAGCTCTCATTAGAAATGCTGGGCATGAATATGAGGTGTACAGTTACACCACATGTTGGGGAGCTCACCAGGGGTCCATCTGCACTTGCCTGGAGACACTGAGGAACTTGCAGATACTGACTACTGAAACCTACTGACTTCATACTTGGCAGCTACTGCCAGTACTGCTGCATTGTGGTGCTAGAAGCATGAGGTTTATGTAACACAAATTCTCTGCTCATGCTATGGTTTAGCCTCATCCACCAGCTCACAGGTCATATGAAAAGGCAATGACACTGGGCTTATTGACTGGGGGTTGGGGAAACACATCAGCCAGTCTACAGTGTAGGCACCTGAGGTGGCTTTTAGTCTAATGTAAATCAGTCTGCTCTCCAAGAATCCCAGTTGGTGTTCTCTCTCATTCTCCTGGGAAAACTCTATCCTTTTCTATCAAAACTTCCTTCAGCAGCAGTCCTAGGAGGGCTGAGGTTTTCACTCTGTTACATTTTTGGTCATGGGGGTATTTACGTGTGTTTACTAACAAAGTAGCCTTCAGCATTTCGTCAGTACTATGGTATAGCCAACATACTATATCCTCAGAAGGTGGCCAGAGCTTGTGCTGAGATACAGCAGAAAGAACTGATTGCAGTGATGGTTAGGAAGAGTATCAGCACAGCTGGAAGCACATCCCTCTTATTAAAGATAGCAACCCTCAAAGTTATTTCTGATATCTTCCCTTCAGAGGTGACTCAGGTGTGAAATGTGAGGGCTTTAGAGCACTGTGCACTGCATCTTACAAAAGTAATCGTCTTTAACATTATCTTAACATTAGTTAGTTTAACATTAATTTAGTATTGTCTTTAACAAGACTAGGTAGGGAATTCATGAGAATTTTGATTCAGTGACAGTTACAACGTGTTAAAACCATATTCATTTTGAAAATCTCTCCTCTGCATGTTTAAACACCCCAAATTTCAAACCAGATAGTTTTGGTTCAGATGCAGGAGAGACAAGAAAGTGTATGGAGAGTTCACATTTCTGGTGACGTTGCAGTAATACATGTTTTGTTCTAGAAGTGTCTGATATCTCTCATATTTCCGTGATACAATTAGAGTAGCACTTTGTGGCCATGGCCATGCGCTTACACCTCTCCTCTGGCGATATTTAGGCAGTGCCCTGTCCCGTCTTCCTTGTCTACATTGCACCACAAAGTGCTGCCTATTGGTAGGAGCTGAGCAGAATGGGAGAAACACATTTGCTCTAGGCTGCTTGGTGGTAGGCAACCAAACTGCCTCTGCCCGGGAGTGGATTCCAAGCCATTCCTGACTGAACAAGGGCACCTGCACCTGGTCCGTCTGGCATAGCTCACTGGGAATGCTGGGCCATGACGGGAGGTTGCATTGCCTCTAGGAATTTATTTCTTTTCTTCCAGCTCCTGTGATTGTTGTGTCACCAAAGAAAATTCACAATGTTACTGGAGCCCAAGTGTACCTGTCCTGTGAAGTGAAGGCAGTGCCCACTGCTGTCATCACTTGGAGAAAGGTAGGCTGGGGATCTGATGCAGGAGGGCTACTATCAGTATCCAGATATGGCTTCGCATTCCCATGCATGCTTTCTCTGTTACTGTACTGCATTTCAGGTAACTGCATTCATAGTTCTGTGTACTGTGTGAGAACAGTATGGGGCCAGTTTCTTCCAACACTTCTATAGCTGGCAGTTTTCATCTGTGCCCATGTGTTAGGTCCCTGTCCTCCTGAGGGAGTTTGGTGACTTCAAGTGTCTTTCTCACAGTACTTTAAGATAATTAACAATGTGAGAGTGCCTTGCCAAGCATTGTGAAGTAAGGAATGGCCCCAGCAGTCAAAAGAGCTAGTGTGATGGACACCCATATGTCCGGCAAAACAGAGCCTATGTCATGCTAGTGGTTTGCTGTGTAGTTTTATCTCTGTATCTGAAGGTGGGCTCCTCTATGAGGAGAACATCCTGGGGCATTTCAGAGCCACATTGCACAATAGAATTGACCTAGCAGCTTCAATACGTGAGAGCAAGTGAGATTTCCTGAGGTCGCCAGATACCTAGAGAACTGAGTCTGGAGGGCATCTGTGCTGAATCTCAGGGGGATGCTGAGCAGTTTGGAGGACATATGCTGATCAAATGGCATATGGATCAGAGTGTTCAGAGGTACTGAAAAGCGTTCAGAGGTACCATCCAAAGCCCTGTACTTATGATAAGAAGGGGACTATTCTTCATCATTAATACTGGAGCTATACTGGGAGACTAGGTGAGCTCAAATGTTCTTAAGGGTAAACAGGTCTCAGATTCAGGTATGATAAGGAACAAGGGGATTAGAGAGTCTTGACACTGACTGGGTGCAAACAGAAATAGGTGCATTTCACCAGTGCATTTCTCTGGAGCTGCAGAGAGCATCTTCCCAGTAAGCATATTCCCACTTTTTCCTACTGTCAGTGTTGCATGCAGCTCTTCTGCCTGCCTGTTTAGACGTGTCAGGCACAGCATGACCAAAGAGAGAATGATATCAGGAGTAAATGCTTCTAACAGGTTCCAAAGATCTCCTCTAACATCTTCCCACTGTTGTGAAAATTTGCAGGTCTCAGAGTCACCCAAAGGAGTCAAACTTCTGGAGGAGCTGCCTGGAGACAGAGTGAATATGGCTGTGCAAGTTCGGGGAGGACCTTCCAAACATGAGGGCACAGGGTGGGTTTTGGTAAGTCCAGCAGAGCAAACTGCTCAAGGACAAGCTTGGATGAGCAGTGGCGAGAAACCCTGGTTATAATGAAAAATGACCAAGTTTCAGTCATCTCCATATAGTGCACCCTGATGAAAGTGATGAGAGAAGGATCAGAGAGGGACATCCAGGCAAACATGTCACACAGAACAGATTGTCCTAATGACTGTACTGGAGAAATAGCACTTTGTGCCTGTTTTGAACAGATGGCGAAATAGAAAATCTCAGATCTTCTTAGTTGTGAGAGTGGGTTCCAAGTTACCTTCCAGAATGCATTTGCATGCTAATAATAGAATATTTTCTGTGCTGATTTTGCCAGATTAACCCACTAATGAAGGAAGATGAGGGGGTCTACCAGTGCCACGCTACCAACATGGCTGGAGAGACACGTGCAGATGGGAGTATCACAGTGACAGAGCAGAATAAAAGCAAGAAGGCATCCCTTCTGGCATGGGACAACCCTGCCTAGCAGGTAATACTGACAACACTAGCACATTCTCTTCCCAGGAAGGACATTCCTTCCCTTCTCTGAAGGCTCTGTTATTTCCAGTAGTTCTAGTTTGACACTGTTGTAATGCAAGCTGGTGAGGCAGCATAGATTATGCTAGACCAGCAAGTAGCACATTAGCGAATTGTATGCTGTGTGTAAAGAAAGTCCAGAAAGCAGGAGACCAGGATGTGTGAAAGAAAATGAAGAGAGATGGGTTTAAGGTTTACTTTAAAGGTTATTCTGGAAATGCAGTAACCTGTGCAGAAATCTGTACCTTCAAGAGAGTCGGGGGTGGTGGTGGGGGGGAAGGTTTAACACCTACTGAAGAAAGTTCACTGTTTATTGAACAATTATTTGGTAACATTCTCTCAAACCTATCCTCTCCTATTCCAGGGAGAAAGAATTTGTTCA